TTCGGAGAACAGAGTGGTATCACACTGAAGTAGCAGCTTGTGAATACTTGGCTTCTGCAAGCCACAGAGGACCCACAAGGCTGGTAGACTGACCAGCTTAATGGAAAGGAAACCCACTGAATATGAGGAAACCAGGAAGAAACTGGGTTTTGTACTCTCTCCCCAGGCATCTGCTTTTGGCCACAGCTGGAGACAGCATACCAGCGCTTATGAAACTTTTGCCTGACAGACATGGCTGCTCTTGCAGGACCACTGTGTGCGGAAGGTAAATGTGACCAAGCTCCCATCTGCGCCATGAAGATGGAGACAAGAAAGCGTCAAAAAGCTTCAGAAAGGTAAAATAATATGTAAAAAAGCATCTTTTTGATCCTATTGGAGCTCTGGCTATGGTTTCTGAATTACTGTGACTTAGCAAGAAAATTGAGAAAATTCCCCAAAGCGAGGTCCGCATGCTTAAAGCTATGCAAGTTCATAGCCCAGGCAAGTACTTCTCTTCTGGAACACGCCAAAAAATAATGGGAGTCTTGAAAAGGAAGTGTTCCTCAATACTGACTGTCCTACATGTGAATGAGCCAGACTGGTTAAAGCTTAATTAAAAATTGCCAGACTGGCTAAATTCTTCTCTAAGTGCAGCTGCAAAACGTTAGCTGTGGGCATATTTTAGACCTTAATTAGTAACACTTGCACTGGAGGACCAAAATCTTTCATGAATGCAGCTGCAATCAATTAATATCAGTTAGGCATTTCTGTAGGCAACACAAGGGTCTCCTGAAAATTGTTTTAGTGCCCACCTAGATTAAAAAAAACCCCAACTTACATACAACACACTACAAAATCACAGATAACTACAAAATGTCTTTATTGAAAAAAGCAGATTATAGCGTCTAAGGTTAAATGAAACTTCTGACTTTTAATATTAAATAACTTAGGATGATAGCAAGTAGCTTCTTCTTTAGATAAATAAATCTACATTTCCCAATTTTTTTTCTTCAACAATCAAGGGAATCAAACACTGGAACACAAAACCACAAGTAATTCTAAAGACTAAAAGACAGAAGCACATTGAAAGGTTTTACAAGGATATATATATATACAAAAATAGTTAAACTAATGTATATTTTCAGCATGTAAACTAGTTACATGATATACAAACTGGGAATTTATATATTTCCTACAAAATAAAAATCAACGTTGGTCCAAGTTCTTGGAAGAAAACTATATTCTTTTAAAGAAAATGAAAATATTTCTCAAATGAAAACTTAATTTAAGTCAAATTATATACTCTAGTTACGGCATTAGTTACAGGATGAATCACAAACTTTTAAACTTTTCTTGAAACACAAGAAAGCAGCTTTTGTCTCCTTTAGAGCTTTGGTTTACTTAACTACTCTGGAATTTCTGGTCTTAAAGAGCTCCTCCAACCATGTTTTCCTTTTGAAGCTCCACCTTACAAAATATATACACACACGTGCACACAAGTGAAAGGAAAAGGCAAGAAACCCAAACAAACCCTCTTTGAAAGCTCAATTATCTGAGTGCATTCTTTTGTTTTGTTTTCAAATTATTATTTTGGTCCTTTGGAACACGTCCTCCAGTGCATGAGGGACACTGAATCGCCTACAACAGCGTTGTGCTGTAGGGACTTCGTCAGATTCCTTACCAAAAGGGAAAGGTGTAGTCCTGATGCAAATGAGAACAAATTATTACTGTTTTAACTTTATGGAAATACTCCGAAAGTACAGCAAAGGCTTCTGAAGAACAATCACATTGTAAAATGAACTCTAGAAAGTTTACATCTGTGTTGAACTGATTTAACATAAGAATACCCCTTCAGAAAATAAGTAAAAGAAGCTTTCTCATTTACATAATTCCCCAGACAGGAGGTAAAAATGTGCAGAAACTGTCATTAGCACTAAAGAGTACAGCACATAATTTTTGTAGATTTGCTTTTTATTTTTCTTTGATTAAAAAAAAAAAAAAAACCAACCTGGCAAATTTTACTCAAGCTCCAGTTTTTATACTAAATGCTGGAAAAGCAAAGCTGTATTTCATTATACAGTAATGGAATGCACCTGTCTATAGAAAATACTGGAACAACAACTGCTGCTTTCTGGTTTTAAACAAATTGCTGATTCTATATTGAAATACTACCTTTCGATATTTTTCACCATGATGATACTTAATGCATTGGAACTGAGTAGAACTACAAGAGACTGATAAATTAACATGTGAAATGAAATTAAACATTATTCTGTCGTACAGTCTGATCATTTTCAAAAGAGCAGAAAAGGCATGGTATGTACATGTTAGTGTGCTGTCCCTTGGAAAGCAGGCTGGAGTGGGAACTTAAAACTTGCCACTGAAGGAGGCAAAGGCAGGTACTGGCAGAAGGCTGGGCTGAACACCACAGCAAGGCACCGCCATCTCTGCCCACTGGGATTGTGAAGGTTTTGCCTCTATAGTGGTAGAGCAAAGCGTGCTTCCAGTATAGCGAGTACTGTTACAGGATGACTTGCTCACAGCAATAGACCCAAACCTTCTCTGTGTATTTTAATGATTGTTTTCTTAATTTCAGTTCCTTAATATGTATTGTAAAGACAAGCAAGTAAAAATGCCTCAAAGCTAAACGTGGTCCGAAGCAGCTTCCTTAAATGGAAAAAGTATCACATTGCGGCTGATGCTAAAAGTTTATCCTGAAGCTCTGGTATCGTCCATGTTTGTAATAACCTTAAGGAACTGACCTAGCCCTACAATCCAATTTAAAACAACTTTTTTTCCCCTTTTCTAGCATTTGCTGTTTGAGTGAGAGGCACATGTACTTCCACTTCCTTCTGAGGCCAGGCAGGTGACCGTGGACACAGAGGTAACGTTTGCAAACGCAAAAAAAAGTATGCATGTGCCCACTGCCCTCTCTTTTGCAGGCCAAGCCTCTTTGGTCACACTGTAGAAACGGGGCAGTAGTTGCACTGTAATGCCTTCAAAACATGGCTATCACCGTAAATATGTTAATTATAAACTGATATATATTACTTAGAAAATTACTTTTTAAAGGAGCATTCAGGTTAATCTAGGCCAATGGAAGTTTGGCAACAGTTCAGGAAATGTACCCTTTGTTCCTTACTAACAGAAAAAAAAATAGTTACAGGAATTTTTCCTGCCTGCCCCCACCTGCCCCCCCCCCCCCCCCACCGCAAATACACCCCAAC